GGTAAAATAGAACATAAACATGGTAAATATTAGTGGCAAAAACAATATAAACTAAGGAGTAAAATATCAAGTTTACACATAGCGTATTTGCATGTGCAGGTTATTAATCGCAATATTTTCTTTAAAAACGCGTCAGGTATTTTTTTCATAACTAGTAACACTTGAAAAGACCTTATGAGGAACAGGAAATGAAACAAGTTAATCGAAAGATGGGGGAAATAACTTGTAAATAATCAAAATATAGGAAACATACTTTTAAAATTATCTTTAACCTTGACGACACGTAAGTGAAATCAATTTCACTTGGCTATTTTTATCTGAGAGCCACGTTCTTCTTTAACTTATACTTATATTCAAATTTAATAATTTCAAAATATAAAAAAAAATATATAAACCATGAGATTTACCATCACATATCAACTTAAAATAATTATAGTCGTTTTGCCTAAAAATGCCAAATATTTGCATATTTCAACATTTTTGTTTTAACCTTAAAAAGGTAATTTCAAATGATGAAAGATACGTTGCTCATTATCAAACCAAAGACTCTAAATATAAAAATACACAGTAACGTGCTACATGTATGATACATATTGATGGATACATGGCTTTTTCGATATCAGCCCGGGTATCATCCCGAGAGTCTATATCAGCCCGATATTATGATACCCGGGCCGATATGGAAAAGAATAATGTGTTTGTCTTTTTATCATATATTACTGATGTATGAGGCCACCCAGGCTGATAACCACATATCAGCCCGACCACGTGACGTCACATAGTACTGATAAGGGTTATCCGCCTGGGTTTGAAAGTATGGCTAGTTTACTTCCGCTCGTTACACATATGCAAAAACTGTCATATAAATGCAAAGTATATGATGAAATAAAATACATATTTGATTAAAACAATATTGGTAAAACAGAATGCAAAGCGTTACTATAACTGGCAAAGACAATACAAACATAAAAAGTTAAATGACAAATCAACAAATAAACGTTTTTACTTGAAGGGATAAAACTCAAGTGTGTACTAATTTTCCAGAACTAGTTTTTGTTTATTTAAAGAAAGGGTAATTTCTATACTACTCAAACTTATAGACATTTCAATGATTATTATTTGCAATAAGACTCAAACATCAAAACATCAACCTTAAAAACTGCGTTTGTAAAATACTAACATATACAAATAAAAAAACTTGGCCATTCAGATTGGCAAAGACTTTACACGCATAAAGTATTAAATATCAAATAAACAAAACACCTGACGTATTTACATAAAGGGACAACACTTAATTGTGCAATTCTTTTCTGAACTCTTTGGTTTTTAAGCATCAGATATTTTTTTGTAAAAACTAGAAATACTTCGAAAAAACATATATGTTGAACCTTAAATGAACCAAGATGTTGAACACCCCAAAATATGTTCCATTATAATCGAATGATGGGGGAAACCAAGCTCAAGCCAATTTTTCATAGAAATAATTTGTAAATATTCAAACAATAAGAAAAGAACTATTCACATAATATCAAACCTTGATGACACTTAAGTTAAATTCATGTCATAAGGCTAATTGTATCTGAGTACTTCCTTTTTTTCCGTTTGAGTTATCATTTGATTTAAACATTTAAAAAAAAGAAAAAAACAAAATGCTTGATGCAGTTTGTCTTGACATATCAACTTCAAATAAATCAAAATAATCCTGTGCTCATAACTATAAGTGGCAACGTCAATACAATAAAAAAAAAAGAAATGGTAAACTATCAAATAATCAAATAAACGTATTTACATAACGACACTTAATTTAATAGTGCAATATTTTCCCAACTCGTTCCTTTAAAGCGTCAGGTAACTTCTCAAAACCATTTGGATTTCGAAAGACATATCAGTGATTATTATTTACAACATATTAAAACATCAACCTTGGAAACTAAGTCTGTAAAATACTAACATATACAAATATAAAAACTTGGCTATTCAGATTGGCAAAGAATTTACAAGCATAAAGTGTAAAAGATCAAATAAAAAAAAATGACGTTTTGACAAAACGGGACAAAACCTAATTGTGCAATTCTTTTCTGAACTCTTTGTGTTTTACTCGTCAGAAAATCTTTCAAATCTAGAAATACTTTGAGAGACAATATACGTGGAACCTTAAATAAACCAAGATGTTGAACACCCCAAACTATGTTCCAGTATAATCGAATGCTGTGGGAAACCATGCCCACGCCAAATTTTAAAAGAAATAATTTGTAAATATTGAAGAGAGAGGCGATGGGTCTGCGGACACTTAGCCGCGACTCTCTTTCAACGTCCTTTCGTTTATCTGAGCAATTCTTTGTTCCCTCACATCGAGTTATCATTTAATTTGTAAATAAGAAAAAAAGAAAAAACAAATGCTATATGCGATTTGTCTTGACATATCTACTGCAAATAATAATCGTAAACTCATTGTTTTACCTCATAATGCGTAATATTGGTACAGTTCAACATTTTTCTTTAAATCGTAAAGATTTCATTACAAAAGATGGGAGGTACGTTGACCATGATACAAATAAAGACTCGAACGATACATATACACATTAATACAGATGCCCTGGAATGCAATGCAAGAAATAAACAAGTAAAACTGTTAGCTATTGCTCACTGATGATACCCCCGCCGAAATATTTCGGTAAACAGAAAGTTGTTGAGTGATGAATCTGAAAACGCATCTTGTGGAGAGTTGTCTCATTGGCAATCATACTACGTCTTCTTACTTTTATATTCAAGGCATAAAATAATGACCCGAGTAAGTTCATTATTTTTCCTGATTATTGTGACAGCGATATTTTCCTCTTTGTTTTATTTCGTGGAAATTCAAACTTTATCTTAAAGCAAGCGACTATTGTTCTCGAAATTGTTAGCTTACATGTAGAGAAGTTAGTCCGTTTTAATCCTAGCATTGTCCATTTCTTGTTATCATATATATGTTTTTTAATTGTATTATTTGTTTGAATCATTAAGTGACAAATTTCATTATTACATGTAGTTATGATTAAGTAAGATTACGTAATTCATATTAGATCGTTTCTATGCCAATGGTCAGTTGGATACCAGCGGTCAAGCTGTACGGACGCCGTGCATTTACAGTGACATTCATTGTGTTTAGTATAGAACATTTCGGAATATTACCGTTGAACTTTTATTGTAATTAATGTATTGCACTATTGGAGAAGTTATCTATAAACCATCGTAAAGCTTAACTTAGTTTTGTTGACTTTAGACAGTGACTTTTCCCCAGAACTCTAAATATAACAGGAACGAAGAAAACCCCTGTTATAAATTGTTGGAGGTACCCGGGCAGTTTGCTTAGTGTCACACTTGTTAGACAAATTGTACACAAGATCATACCTACGCTCTACAACTGTATAATGGATTACAAATTGAGACACAGATTTAATTGGTGGTGTCCACCTGATCTTAGAAAGGAGTGCAATATGAACAATCAGTCATTTTTCGTAGAAAACGGTTACAATCCAAAATGTTCGAATTTTCTTCGTGTCATCAATTCAAATATCGATAAAACTGTGAGATGTTTCCGCTGTGGACAAATAGGACATTTTTATAAACAATGTTGTGCAGAAATCAGAATAAAATCAAAGAAAAAGCTAGACAGAGATTTCGAAAGACTTTCCTTATTTATACAGCGTAAAACTTGTGAGAATTTTCCTTTCTTCATCTTGGACGATGCAGAATGTCGTAAAGCAACGAGGACAAATTCAATTCTACATTTCCAGGTAAATTTACTTCAAACGAATCAAACCCAAATTTTGAAAGAAAAAGTGAAACTTGAATCAGTCGTTGATTTAATAAAAGACCAATTGAAAGAAAACAGAAAATCGCTCAGACAGGAAATCGAGTTTCTTAAGCAAGAGAACAAAACATTAAAAACCAAGCTCCAGAAAGCAATTTCTAAAAGCACAGAACTCTCGCGAGAAATAGAATTTCGGAATCTTTAAAACGATAAATTGGAGAGAACAATCGGAACGCTCTACATCAAAATATCAGGCTTAGACGTATCAGAACTAGCAAACCAAAAGAAGATAAAAGATTTAACCACTAGTTGCAGGAAATTAGAAACGGAAATTAACGCTTTAAGAAATGACTCTTGTGACTGCAAAATTCGAAATCAATCGCGGTCAAGACAGAATCAATATGAAGGACAAAATGTAAATCACGATCCATCCCGTGGAAGAAGAAGGCAGTATTTTTATTAGACTCTGGGACAGAGTCTTTTTCAAGTCGGAGGGAATTTGTGACAGCGATATTTTCCTCTTTGTTTTATTTCGTGGAAATTCAAACTTTATCTAAAAGCAAGCGACTATTGTTCTCGAAATTGTTAGCTTACATGTAGAGAAGTTAATCCGTTTTGATCCTAGCATTGTCCATTCCTTGTTATCATATATATGTTTTTTAATTGTATTATTTGTTTGAATCATTAAGTGACAAATTTCATTATTACATGTAGTTATGATTAAGTAAGATTACGTAATTCATATTAGATCGTTTCTATGCCAATGGTCAGTTGGATACCAGCGGTCAAGCTGTACGGACGCCGTGCATTTACAGTGACATTCATTGTGTTTAGTATAGAACATTTATTGGAATTACCATTTGTTTTATCTTTTCGGAATAATTCCGTTGAACTTTTATTGTAATTAATGTATTGCACTATTGGAGAAGTTATATATAAACCATCGTAAAGCTTAACTTAGTTTTGTTGACTTTAGACAATGACTTTCACCCAGAACTCTAAATATAACAGGAACGAAGAAAACCCCTGTTATATTATAATGCAAACTACAGTTTGTTGAAATATCTAATTCATTTGAGATCATTTGATATTTCCAATTGAATGTTACTGTACAATTTTCCATGTTTGATATTCTATAAAGGTTTAAGACAGAAATAATACTTTCCTCCGTTTATAAGACTGAAATAAAACAAAAAACAAAAAAAACCAAAAAAAAAACGCAGAGTTTAATTTTCGAAACACTTACTAGTAATCTGAAGGTTTGTTAATTCATCGCTACAAAATGGACGTTATGTGAGATAAAATTAATAACGCAAAACTGTTCATTACATTCATTTAACAAGCCGAATTGTATCACATTTAAGTGTCGGATCATAAAAAAAAACAACAAAGGTTTAAAATCTTGTTTATTCACGCCGTATTGAACCCCCAAGGGTGACTATGAAATAGAAATATGTTCACTTAGGTCTTCTACCGACCGGCAATAAAACCATTGACAAAGTGGGACGTCCGTTTGGCAGTGCGGGATGTTCAAGCACGCAACCCCGTCTGGTCAGAATGGGGACGTTAAATCCGGTGCCTCGTGTAAAGAGAATGTTACGTTCTTTCCTTTTTGGAACCCTTGCAACAACTCTTTAAGGGTCCGTATGTGGCCTGTTGAAAGGCAAAATTTCTTTCCTTATCCATATACCCTCATTTTCCAGTGGCAACCCAAATTTTCCCGACCTTCATCCCGGACGGCCTTTAGAACAGGACCTACCTATTGTACTTATTGTTAATTTGTTCTAGTCCTAAACATGCATGACATATTTGCCACTGGACGTTAAGCAACCAATAATCAATCAATTAAACCATTTTGAAAATCGTTCTATGACCTATTGATGTCTTTTTTTTCTGTGTTACATGTGCATTACGATTATGTGATGTTTGTGTCATTTCGTGATTTTTACAATATATACCTTTGTAAAATATTTTATCCTGATTCTCATTTTTTTTTAAGAAAAAAAATATTATTGCCAGGGTAAAGGGAGAAAAACAATTGTGCTGAATAATTCATATGAAATATTATTTGTGGACGGTAAATAAGTCAGATAATGCATATTTTAAGGTTTGTCTTGTCGTATAACACACTTTCGGGTATTAGGATTACCTCAAAAAAAGACCTCCCTACGGTTGGTTTTCCTTTGATCAATCCGGACACCCCTCGGTGTGTTATATGACAAGAAAACCTTGAAATATGCATTATCTATAACTAAATAACCGATTGCTTGAATTTTCCGGTGTATTTGATATGTTTATGACCTTATTAATCATTCAATGAAGAAATTTATAATGAAGTAAACTTGGGAACTTTAATTTTTAACTTCGTCATAATCTTTTTGTGGTATGGATGTACAGCTGAAATTCATTAGATACGTCCTGTTCTATTGGTTTTAACTGCATCATAAATAAATACTGACACCTAGTTAGTTCAGATAATCAGGCTTTATAACCTAAATCTTAGCATGAAAGATTTATTCAAATTTATCTGTCTTATTAAATATATTGAAGCTTGAAATGAGACCTATTTCAGCTTCCTGATAATGCGTGTAATATTTTTCCGTTGACGACAAATATTTTCGATTTCAATCCTTGCAGAACGTTATGGATGTGCTATTCCCTATTTGAATATCATTAATATTCAGTCTTTTCTCCCTCCGTCTCCTCTATCATCGAATACTATATTATTGATCAGAAACTTTAAATTGTTAATTTTAGGCAGCTCTGTTTATTTTTCTGTTAATTAAGTTATCTTCCCTGTTTACACGATATAGTAAAGAAAGAATATATTTTAGAACTTTAATTTCTGTTTTATTTCCTGCCTTGTCTGTATAAGATCTTCAATGGAATACGGTATTTTTTATGCGAATGGGTCATCCGTACTTATGATACGAAAATGAAATTCAAAGATTGTTTGCAAATATGTTGTTTTTAAAAAAATTTGAAAATATGTAGATTGACATAAAAAAAACGGCGAATTCCTAAAATAGCACCACAGTCTAATAATAAATGATCTAGTTTATTGTTCACATTTCAAATAGAATATTGAAATATAAACTATTTCGTTATTCATTACTTTACTATTCATCATATAATTTTGAAAAATAAAAATTTGGCGTATTTCAGCGCGCTGTCTCAGCAGGAATTCATTAGACTTCTAAGCAAAATGTGCGCATTTCAATTAGAATACGTATAACTCGTGCACACAAGTCAGTAACTCGTGCACACAAGTTGTGTAACTCGAGCGCACAGGTTAGTAACTCATGCGCACGAGTTGTAATTTTATTTTTGCATGGCACTCCAAGGCTTCCGTATTACGCTAATATGATATTTCAATAAAATTTTTAAAAATATTTGATTTAAAAAATGTTTATATAGCATATACATCGTTAATATAAATGGCAAATACAACACACAAAAAAAAACACCACACAAATTGTGAAATATAAAAAAAAAACTAGAGGCTCTAAAGAGCCTGTGTCGTTCACCTTGGTCTATGTGTATATTAAACAAAGGACACAGATGGATTCATGACAAAATTGTGTTTTGGTGATGGTGATGTGTTTGTAGATCTTACTTTACTGAACATTCTTGCTGCTTACAATTATCTCTATCTATAATGAACTTGGCCCAGTAGTTACAGTGGAAAATTTATGAAAATTGTAAAAAAATGACTATAAAGGGCAATAACTCCTTAAGGGGTTTATCTTTACAGTTTATCTCTATCTATAATAATATTCAAGATAATAACCAAAAGCTGCAAAATTTTCTCAAAATTACCAATTCAGGGGCAGCAACCCAACAACGTGTTGCCTGATTAGTCTGAATATTTCAGGGCAGATCTTGACCTAATGAAAAATTTTATCCTCGTCAGATTTGCTCTAAATGCTTTGGTTTCAGAGATATGAGCCAAAAACTGCATTTTACCCTATGTCCTTTTTTCTAGCCATGTCGGCCATCTTGGTTCGCGGGCGGGGTCATCGGACACATTTTTTAAACTAGATACCCTAATGATGATTGTGGACAAATTTGGTTAAATTTGTCTTAGTAGTTTCAGAGGAGAAGATTTTTGTAAAAGATTACAAAAATTTACGAAAAATGGTTAAAAATTTACTATAAAGGGCAATAACTCCTTAAGGGGTCAACTGACCATTTTGGTCAAGTTGACTTATTTGTAGATCTTACTTTGCTGAACATTATTGCTGTTTACAGTTTATCTCTATCTATAATAATATTCAAGATAATAACCAAAAACGGCAAAATTTCCTTAAAATTACCAATTCAGGGGCAGCAACCCAACAACGGGTTGTCCGATTCATCTGAAAATTTCACGGCAGATAGATCTTGACTTGATAAACAATTTTACCCCATGTCAGATTTACTCTAAATGCTTTGGTTTCACAGATATAAGCCTAAATCTACATTTTACCCCTATGTTCTATGTTTAGCCAAGGCGGCCATCTTGGTTGGTTGGCCGGGTCACAGGACACATTTTTTAAACTATATACCCCAATGATGATTGTGGCCAAGTTTGGTTAAATTTGGCCATGTAGTTTCAGAGAAGAAGAATTTTGTAAAAGTTAACGGACGACGGACGACGGACGCCAAGTTATGAGAAAAGCTCACTTGGCCCTTTGGGCCTGGTGAGCTAAAAATAAACATATTTACATGAACATGACGAAGTGAAATACTTAATTGTACAATATTTTTCGAACTCTTTTCATTAAAGCGTCAGGTTCTTCCCAAAAATTTTGAAACTTAAAAAGACATTTCAATGATTATTATTTAAAAAAGACTAACTCATGAAAACATTAACCTTGGAAACTAAGTCTGTAAAATACTAAGTATATATAAAAATGTAGCCGTTCAGATTTAAAATACAGAAAAAAAAAAACCTTAATGATGTACTTAGGTCAGGTTTAGGACTTTTTGTCAGATGTTCGGACTACTTGGTTTTTTTCCTACGATACAGGGTAAATTATTTTGCCCCATAACACCCATTTTTTTTTCATATATGACTTCAATAAAAGGTCATGTACCAAAATTTAAGCAGATTCTAGATTTGTTTTCTTTCGATTTGAGACCCAAATAATACCAATGAAAATATAAGGTAAAAGTCCGAGTCAGCCTTTTCCCGCCAATTTTTGAAAATCAAATATCTCGAAAGGGAGCTCCATACCCTATCAATATTTTAAGCTTATTTTGTTCCTTAACTAATACTCTTCTGACTTATAGTATCAATTTTAAATTCTAGATTTTTTTAATTTCACCCACGTACATCCTTAAAATAAACTTAGCTCTTAAAATTTAAACTGTATAAAAATGTAAACTGATCGAAGAATTTTCCATGTGCATTAAAATCTTCAACCAGTTAAGACAATTAAACACGTTAAAGAATGGAAAATCTAGAAAATCTAAACTGGGCCAAACATTAAAACAAACCTGTCTTAATTGCGGTATGGGTTTTGCTCGTTGTTGAAGTCCGTACGGTGACCTATAGTTGTTTATCCACGTAAGAGATATAGGACTTAAGGGTCTTTATATACTTAAAGTTCAATACCCTAAGTCAACTGTGCTAGAGATTGAGTTTGGGCATGTAAATGATCCTAATAAAACGTGTTTTGTAGTACTCTATTAATTTTAAGTCGATTTGGAAGCGTTCAATCCGCATTGACGGGAATATATCATGTTTATTTTACTCAGTACATACAATGTATTAACACATACATGTATAATCACACAATGATCCCTATGTATATGTCTGACATACATGTGTAATGTTTGGGAGAAACGACATTGTGTGTCTCACTAAATGTGTAATATTTGGGAGAAACGACATTGATTGTCTCACTCAAATACTTTAGGTTTAATTCTCTCATTTTTTCTTGTAAGTGTATACTGTTTCTTCTATTCCAATGACCACTTCATCTGACTCTTCCTGAAAACAAAAACTTGAAAAACCATATGTGTATTTGTATGTCCCTGTTATAATTACCTCACTAGACTTTCCGTCGGGACATATCCTGTGGACTTTGATTTTTTTTTCAATACCATCAAGACACAAAATAAGTACATAACCTTCATTGTCTATGGTAAGACGGTTTGCATTTGTTAGACCAGTATCGGTAAATGTAAATATTGTGTTACCATCTCTATCAATACAAACCAGTTTGTTTCCTGAATCGTCAATACAGTAAATACGTGCTGCCTTATCATAGCACATATCTTTTGGTGTGAACCCTAACTCTATTTTCCTGTCTATTGTCCCCGACATATCCATCACTGTTATTCCTGAATGGTTACTGATATAAAGTTGATCATCAGTGTAAAACATTGGACAGAATGGGTAGGATGGATTATCAAGTGTACAGTCTACATGTTGAATAACCTGTCTTTGTCTTATATCAACTATTTCTATTGAGTCAACCTTTCTATAAGTAAGTGATAACAGAACAACGACAGTATTTCTGTCTAATATTGCAATACTACGTGGTCGTCCACCTACGGTTATTTCATTTCGTTGATTATCACTGACTGAATATGTTAGTAACTTGTAACTATAATACAAAGCAAACACTAATAATCCTCCCGGTAGTGCTTTTATATCAGCTGTATCACCAGAAACCTCGACTTTATTATTCAGTAGCATATTATCGTTGGTAGATTGAATTGTGTGATGTTTTGTTGATTTAGTTAATTTGTCATGCTTTAAATAACAATCATCACATAAAACGTTACTGCATTCATAACATCTGTACACAGGCATCTTCACACAATAATGACATCTGAAATATACAGATAAAAGTTATTAAATGTTCACACTAAGACACAGCTAGAGGTAGCGAGATATCAACATTTTCCTAAATAAGCAATTTTACTCAATTTCAGACTAACGAAAAAACAAATATAGGTTAATTTCGAGAACGTACAGTCAGATAAAAATAGATTATGCCGATTTTCTGAAAATCAATTGTTCAGGGGAGCAGAATTTTAGCTTTGCCAAGATTTATCTCAGCAGAAGGTGTACCTTTTTGGCAATTATTATTCTTATAATTATTTTGTTGCATTACCTCCATATCCCCACTTTTTAGGAAAGGGGGTGGGGTGGGGGGGGGGGGGGGGGGCATTTACAAGGCCATTGGCTTGTACTATGATGAGTCTCACTTAAGTTTTCATCATTTGCTATGTTGAAGTGTTTGTTTTTCCTTTTTTTCTATTTTCTCTCCTGCCGATTACTACTACAGTATAAGTGATCGGTTTATTTAGGTTGCAAAACATTGTCCACCTTTTAATTTGAGTCTTATTATTTTACATCTAAAAGTGGCGGATCCAGAAGTTTGCATAAGTGGGAGCCCACTGACTGCCTAAGAGGGGGCCAGCTCCAGTCATGCTTCAGTGATTCCCTATATAATCAACCAATTTTTCCCACAAAAGGAGGGGGGCCGGGCACATCCCCTAAATCCGCCTCTGTCTACCTATCCTCAAACATTACTATATAACCTTTTCTATTTATTTATTTATTTTTTTTTTTTTTAAATATTTACTATTTTTTTAAACGATAAAAAAAAGATTGTTCTCATATTTCAGACTGTTATCCCTTCCTCCCACATCCAGTTGGTTGAGTCAAGGGAATTCTAGTAGAGAGGAGTTTTAGATAGAAAAGGGTGGGACTTACTTGTCTGAAAAAATAGTACAGCGGTCATCGACTGGAAATTTAACCACTGTTCCATTCATATGTGTTTTCAAAAACGATCAATGGTGATGATAATGATGAACCGCTTCAAAAAGGAATGTTTGTTCATGATTATGAAATAAAACCTATTGATATACTCTTTTTATTTGAAATATAGATGTTTTCGTCGAATGTCTCTGTCCATATTTATACTAGAAAACCTTAAAACGTAGATCAATTGCAATGACGGTTTTAAGTTTTAATTTAAAGCCAGTAACCCCACCCCCACGTGGCCTAATTTTTTACGCTAATTTGGAGTCTCTAAATCTTGAAAGAATATGGAATCCGTTTCATCCCATGTTAAATTCTCTGAAAAATAGAAAATTCTGCACCTTCTTATGAAATACATATTTTACGATAAAAAAAACCCTTTAAAATCCAGTTTGCAAATATTTGATTATAATACATTACACAATCATGGTATTATTAATTAAATATGAAAACCTTCATACTCGAAAGATAGTGACTATTCAACAAAAATAATGTTCTGGATGAACTAGTCCGTAGTCACGTCCGATCCGTAAAATCCGATGCCTCGTGTAGAGGAAGTACCACGGTCGTTGCACGTTTAGAACCCTTGCAACAACTCTTTAAGGGGTTCGAAGGCAAAAACTTTCCTTATCCACTATACCCTGATTTTCCAATTGCAGTCCAAATTTCCCTGACGTTCATCCCGGATGTCCTCTATTGCCGGACCTACCTATTATATTTATTGTTATTTATTCTCGTCCTGAACATGCATGAAATATTTGCCACTGGACATTAAGCAACCAACAATCAATCAATCAATCAACTAGGAAGACGAAATAAAAAAAAAACTCAAAATGGACAGAAACATAATTGTAGAAGCAGAATTGCCAGAAAAAAGGAAGAAAGTTAAATACTGGACTTACAGTAAGAGGCAAGATCATGAATTAAAAAAAACCGACTTTTAACAAAAACAACTTATATCAAAACTACAAAAAGAAGTTTCCGAAAGAAACACGAACATTGCTTGTTTAATGGAACAGGTAACAGCTTTTTCAAGGAAAAAAATCGATTGATGCATTTTCTGAAGGGAAGTATCCTCCAGCTGTCCATCAAGTTGTTCAAGACTTGCATTCTTTTGATGCAGGAGGAATATATTGGCCAAACTATCAACTCAGTACTAGAGCATTTGTTGGGGGTCAATGATTCAAAACTGCCATCAGAATCTTCAAATCGAAGTATGGTTCACATCCACAAAATGAAGTCTTCTCATTTAATAGTATAGATTTATATAATGATGACTTTTCTATGTATAATCCATACAAAATGTTTCATATTTTCGCAGCCGGTAGCTTGAAAACAAGGTCGATGACCTATCATTGTTTTTATATTTTAGAACATACCACAATATATACTAATTAGTCTACATCTTTTGCAGAGTATAAAAGGAAAAGTTCTATCATTTTTCGTTTATATTTCCACATTCTAAAGAGGAAATTTCGACTATTTAGTGAATACATTCTTAACTGCCGGTAACTGGACTTTTTATACATTATGACTTGGATGGAGAGTTGTCTCATTGATACTCATACCACATCTTCTTATGTATCTTGTACCCATAAGATTTAACGCAAAAGTCACCATACCATTAAACGGCTTTCGAAGATAAAAAGTTCGAGTCTATGGTACTAAATCTTACTTTTCGCCGTAATCCTTAGACTTGCTACATGTCCCTTCCTATTTTATTTTCTTTTTCGATTTTACCTCTTTAACATTTTTACTGCTATAACTATGAGATTGCAATTATATTGACAACTGCAAAGGGTAATCAGTGTACTGGGACATTCGGTATCATGGCAGTTTTCAGTGAACATATAAATGAGTAAGAAAGAAATAAAAGAAAGGGAATTCTAGCAAGTCTACGTAACCCTTTATATGTTAAGAAGATTTCGATATGGAGTACTTGTAAAACAATATTTGAGAAAAGTTGCGAATTGTTTACGGTAATCACACAGAGCGAATTTGTATAGCTGTTCTGATATTAAATGTATTTCTGGTGTATAGCTTGTTTTCTTTTGTACAAAATATATTTTCTCTTTTCACAAATCATCAAACTGACATACAGCACTGTAGCAAGCAAAAAGTAGCCACCTCGAGATATATACTTGTGTTTAAACATTTTGATTTCTGAATACAACTGTTATAAACTTTTTACCCCAACAAAACGACGTATTTTCTTGTTTTTTCTTGTTTTGTTTCGGGATCTTTTAAAGCTTACTATTCGGTATGAATTTTGCTCATTGTTGAGGGCCATATGGTGACCTATAGTTTCTTACATATATGTCTTTTGGTCTCTGGTTGATAGTTGTGTCGTTCGATCATACCCCATCTTCCTATTCATTAATTCATGTTATACGGATTTTTTTCAATAAGATTTGGAATATTTGTATTCTGTATAAACTGTCATACTAATTATTTTGAATATATAAATTAAATGATTACTAAAAACTTAAAATACTTATAATCTAAGCCCAGTATATATATTCATTCGTCCCAGGCGTAATAAAGTTGCATTTGTTAATATACAAGACAATCAGATATCCTCCTGTCAAGTAAGATATCGTTAATTATCGCGGGATTTAAGCTAAAACGCGTATATGATTTCGAGATCACGGTTGATAAGTCGCTTATGTGAAACTGGTATACTGTTACTATCTCTTTACAACTTTTTAAAATAATTTTCTCACTAAGAGCTTTCTTGATCTTTGTCTAAGGTGTAAACACAGTTCATCTTTAAAAACAAACATTATAGCAACGGTTCGGTCAAGATGATTAATAATGATAAATGTGATATTTACACAAGTTTAAAGGTCGACTTCCCCCTTTATTTTTTTAACTCACAGGGACAACTTCTCAAAGTTGTCAAATCCTACTGAAAATTGAATCTTAGTAAAGAGTGTATAATATATACTTTACAATTTTACATATTAACCCACTATGCTATTCAGCGCTACATGCTAATATTGGCGGCAATTTGCCACAAAATTTTAAAATTTTGAATTGTGTTTGTCAAACTTTGCATGGAAGGACGTCGCTTACAAAAATCAATTAAGTTGTGTCCAAAAGATAATACCTAGCGATATTTCTAACAAATTTTGGTTTTGGTAAACGATGCTCTTGTAAATTATTTCATAAATACTCGAAAGTTGACAAAATGTGTCAAAATGACTGTATTTGGCAATTTTTGGGCGTTTAAAGATTGGTGATCTGTTTAGAAATAAGCCATAATAATGCCAGAACCATATATTAAACACTTTTGGCGTTGATGCTATGAATATTGAGGTAAAGATTGATAGACATTTTTACAATGGCCCTGTTGTGAAATAAATTTAGGGGAAATTGGTCCTACTCCTTATCGATTTATGCATATGTAATGTAGACTCCGTGTAGAATGTACGGAGTTTAACATCAATTTATAATTACCTAATAGAAAATAATAACATTTACATGCTTTACATACCGTAACGCAGATTTTAGAGACCGCAGTTTATAACAAACATGATAGTCTAGATAAATTATGATCTATAAAGTTTTGTCTTATTTCAACGTTTTAAAAATATTAAAGTTAAAATATTACAAATGTATATATATACCTCTTTTAACACCCCCCCCCCCCCCCCCCTTCCACACACACACACTGGATATGTGTAAATGACTCATCTATTTACACTCATGACAGTTTACACTGTAACCCAAGTCAGACAAATCAAAACTAACAATATATTGCGTAATAATAAAATTTCAATGATAAGTAAATATCGACATTAAGAGATCTAGACCTCTGAACAAAAAGGGCTGTTACAGATCAACGAGCTTGGAGGGCTAGTGGATTTTGAACAGCCCTTTTTCCGGGCTCGTGGATCTTTACGGCCCTTTTTGTTCGGATGTCTTCTTGTTCAAATTGTGTTACATTTTGATGTCAATATTATATTATAAAGTAAATAATGTTAACTTTACTCCTGACTTTTTAAAAATCAAAGTACTGAAGTACTGAACATCGGATGACTGCAACTTCTGGTGGATGGT